TTCACTTTGTAAATAATGCTGCATAGCTGAGGGTCTACACCTCTGGCGAAGTAATCATCAGCTGGAGTTGCCCTTCAGCCTCCAATGGGCACCGCCACCAGCTGCGTCTGCTCCCTCCGTGCTCCACAGGTCAGACATACTCTGGTGTAGGGGTTCCTTGACATGGTCGATCCATGAGTATGTCTTTTCCTCTGAGGTCAATGCAGCCTCCACAATCACCTACAGCTCTATCAGAATTCCTTCCACTATGGACAGTGGAACACACGAGTTACTCAAGCTTTGACCTCTCAGAAGTTACCCAAGCAGATCTCTGACTGCTTATGAACTGTAACTGACCAGCAGTGACAGCGCAAATGGGAAAGCTGTTCTGGGAGACTTGCATGGACAGGACAAGAAGCTTTCACCTTCCCTCTATCAGGCGCATATCTCACCCTTATCACCTGCCAGCCCTGTGACCACAACACCAATGTGATGGGCATCCTCCTCCAGTAATATCCATACTGCAAGGTGGGCCACTCCAGCACTGGAACAGCTCTCCTCTCTGGTATTACGTTCTTACACTTCCAAAAGATGAAGCAGATTAACTCAATGATATTTCCCATCACAATGTCTGAGGCACATTCACATGGTCCTGATCCTAGAAACTTACTGTCAAATTACTTAATATTCTAAAGTACTGAGAACATATTCCTCAGTTGACATGGGCACACATTTCCTCCCTTTCCAGGCAGTACATGCGTGTGGTTCTTCTACTTATAACTGTGCTTATCATGCGATGATTTCATATCTGGTTGTTGCACCATAACAGAGATCAGAAGGTCATTAAAACACTCCATGTGCTTCATACTGGTCAGCAACTCCTGAACTCATGACTGATCTCAGTCAAGCCTGCTTAATCTGGCTGGTGCTCTCCAGAAATAAGATATTCCTCTGAGCTCTCATTGTCTCTCTCAGAACCTCCCCAGGAAGGTGTAGCTGAACGACTGCCTGGTGTATTCCTGCACCAAACCCTGGCACACTTTATACAGTCCACAGCTGTCACAATGATGGCTGACCAGCACCTTTTACATGGGCTCCACCATATCCAGCTGGCTTCTCCTGAACATGCCCACCATCCCTCATGCAAGGCATTGGTGGAGATTAGCCACATTACCTCCCACATAGTCCAGCCTTGGCACACAGTAGAATCACAGCAAGGGTAAAATAAGCACATCAGCTTGCCAGTCAATCCATTGCTAAAGTCACAATGATACAAGCTCGGGGGTGGCTGTGCAAAATGAGTGTAATGTTGGCTTTCTATCTGTAAGTAATTTACACACTCCATTGCACCCCTGGCTGCCCATCACATTTCTGGATTTGCACTTCAACTCATTTACTCAATTATCTGTAATTAATCAGGACCTGCCTTGTGACATATCTCAGTGATTACTCTTAGGTTTATTTTGAACAAGTTGAAGTACAGTTTACCTGGTTGAACAGGTTTGGCAGAACAGTTTGTTTTTAGCATGTTTATAATCTCTTGTCACCTCGTGTGAACATGCTGTTGGCAATATATTGTTGATATCCACAAAGGTAATAGTGTCCTGTAGGAATGACGCAAATCAAGAGCAAGGTTTGCTGGCTTTCACTCCAATCAACTGCTGAACAATAGTTTCTGCCTCTATGCAGTGTTAGAGTCACTGTGCTAAAACTTTGCTGAAGTAATTCAAAACTTTCCTGACGTACCACTGTGTTGCCACCAATGAACACCATCCATTGCTCTACTTCATCTCTTTGACCTTTCTCCTCAAAGGTTGCAAAACGTGTGTTTCTCAATTAGTCTTCGCTTTGAAGCATTTCCTACTGATCTCTCTGCACAAGAAATTTTTCCTCAAATCAACCCTTCAATGTTAGTGCACATTTTAAATTGGCTCTCGTTACTGAAACCCTAACAAGAAGAAATAACTTTTCATGATTAAACCTGTCAAAACCCTTAATGGGGAGGCAACAGCCGAGTGGTATTATCACTGGACTGTTAATCCAGAGACCCAGGTAATGTTCTGGGCAACCCGGGTGCAATTCTACCATGGCAGATGGTGGAATTTGAATTCAATTTAAAAAAATGGAATTAAGAGTCGAATGATGGCCATGAATTCATTGTTGATTGTTAGGAAAAACTCATCTGTTTCACTAATGTCCTTTAAGGAAGGAAATCTGCCATCCTTACCTGGTCTGGCCTACATGTGACCCCAGACCCACAGGAATGTGGTTGATTCGTAATTGCCCTTGACCTAGCCATCAACGCCATTGTCCCATGGATGAATAAGAAAAGAAGTAGACTTAGTAATCTTTATTAAATCTCCTCTTCATCTTCCCTGCTCCAGTAAGAATAATCCCAGTATCTCAAAGCTCAAAATGGTCCCACCCTTCCTGGTAAATGTATGCTCAGATGAAAGTAGAACAGATTTTAGTCACCAAAATTTTTTTTGAACAATGAACACTATACACAGGGCAGGGAGAGATTCCTGTATTGACAGTCTAAGACTGATTCCTTCTCCACACAAATATCATGTAACTCGAGGGTTCTTGTGGTGCAGTGGTAGGGTATATATCTGAGCCAGGAGGCCTGGGTTCAAATCCCACCCACTCCAGAGGTGTGCAATAAATCTCTGAACAGGTTGGTTCAAAACTATCTATCAATGTGACATGGTATTATCAGCTATCTGATCAAGAGTTGCTCTCCTTAAACTACACTTCCACCATGAGTATTCAACCTGTCACTACACTTTAACCTTTTCCCATCATTAACATATTTATCTTTCCCCATCATTAACTTGTGTCCGGTTTCTCAGAGTTCAGCAGGTTTACGAGCGATCTGAATGGATTTCCTATTTAATGAGATATGGATGGGGTGTCAATACCTCAGCAACAAAGTGGCTCCAGAGTCTGTGCAGTATTTATATTTGCACAATGACTATTCATGTGCACAATCTGAATTGCCATCATCTTACATTTTACAGTTAAAACATTTTCCTGCTTTTTCTGCTCTTGCTCTCCTCACTCCTATTCTCCAGTATTTCCACTGTCTGTCTGTGCTCCTGTTAAGGCTAGACAATGCCTCCAGTGGAAATTGGGTAAAATCCATCTCCATGATAGGGTGAACACTTGGGCAGAGAAATGGCAGACAGAATTTAACACGGACAAATGTGAGGTGATGCGTTTTGGAAAGTCTACTGTAGGAATGAAGGATACAGTATATGGTAGAATGCTTGGAAGCGTTAACATCCAGATGGATCTAGGTATACAAGTCCACAGTTCCCTGAAAGTGGCAACACATTGAATAAGGTGGTCAAGAATGCATATGGCATGCTTCTCTTCATTGGTTGGGGCATAGAGTACAAAAGTTGACAAGTCATGCTGCAGTTGTATAGAACTTTAGTTAGTCCACATTTGGAATATTGCATACAGTTTTACTTGTCACACTATAGGAAGAATGTGGAGGTTTTGGAGAGGATATAGAAAAGTTTTAAAAAGATGTTGTCTGGCTTGGACGGCATCAGCTATGAGATTGGACAAACTTGGTTTGTTTTCACTTGAGCTTGAGGGATGAGAAGTGACCTGATAGACATTTACAAAATTATGACAGGCATTGATAGAAAAGGTAGGTGGAGTGTTTTTGCCAGGGTAGAAATGTCTGTTACTAAGGGGGACATAGGTTTAAGGTAAAAGGAGTTAAGTTTAAAGGAGATGTGAGACGCAGGATTTTTACACAGTGGGCAGTAAGTGCTTGGAATGTGCTGCCAGAGGAGGTAGTAGGAACAGATTATATAGCAATGTTTAAGAGGCGTTTTGACAGATACATGAATAGGCAGGGAATAGAGCGTTACGGACTGCGTAGATGCAAAAGGTTTTTAGTTGACAATGGCATCATGTGTCAGCCCAGGCTTATTGGGCAGAATGGCCTGTTCCTGTGCTATACTGTTCTTTGTTCTTTGATACCTTTAAACAAATACCTGCTTTCTTTAGAGCATTATTAAAGTACTTTTTACGTACAACACTTTTATATTATTACTTTGGGTTATAATTTTAGTGGGAGACTGAGTGCTTCTATGATTGCTAATATTAGAGAAGGAATCAATCTGTTAAAAAGATTGAGAGCACTAAATTAAGTATCGAAGATTGAGAGATCTATGTGTTTGTATCAAAGAATATGGATCAAATGTGTATAAATGGGGTTGAGGTACAGTTCAGCCATGATCTCACTGAATAGTGGAACACAGTGGGCCAAAAGTTGATCCATTTCTTAGAGGGGTGGCATGGTACCTCAGTGGTCAGCAATGCTGCCTCACAGCGCCAGAAACCCAGGTTCGATTCCACCCTCTGGTGACTGTCTGTGTGGAGTTTGCACATTCTCCCCGTGTCTGCGTGAGTTTCCTCTGGGTGCTCTGCTTTCCTCCCACAATCCAAAGGTGTGCAGGTTATGTGGATTGGCCATGCTGTAGTGTCCAGGACTGTGTAGGCTAGGTGGATTATTAATGGGAAATGCAGGGCTACAGGGATGGAGCGGGTCTGGGCGGGATGCTGTTTTCAGGGTTGGTGTGGATTCGATGGGCTGAATGGCCTTCCTTCACACTGTCGGGATTCTATGATTCTAAATGGCGTGCTCCTGTAAAGAAAGAGCAAGTACAACTTCAGGAAGCCTCAGGGCAGCTTACTCTCAATGAAGTATTTTTGAACTATAGACCTGGTCCAGGGCACAGTCAGGTACCAGTCTGTGATCCTCCACTGTACTGGACCATGCAGCTAGTTCTCTGAGGACAGCCAGCCCTGCTAGATGGCATCAGTGTGGGACATTAACAGGCACCAACCAATTGGTTTATTGAGCCACGTTTCATTGACACTTTGGTCTTTTCAAAACTGTCCCCCTTCCTGATAAAGAAACTGGGATTGTAAACTGTGCTGAGCATGTGTTTGAGCGTTTGGTCAGCCACTAATGGTGTTTCCTTTGTTTTTTCATTCAGCCACCAGTAAATTCTTCAGTGCAGCCTGTGCTCCAGGGGCAGGCTCCTCCTTCCCCAACCTGTGCCGGCTCTGCCAGGGCAAGAAATCGTACAATAGGGACAAAAATTATTTCTGTGAAACGACTGACAATGAGCCTTACTATGGTTCTGAAGGTGCACTCAGGTATGTGATCCAAAATGCAGTTTAAATAATACCAAGCAGATTGCAACATGCTTCTTTTTGAGCCTTGTATTGTGAGTCTTGAAATGCATAATTACAGTGTATGATTCTGAATCTTATCATGTTGTGTACTTCTCTACCGTTACAGTCTCAATAATATCGCATTCAGTCTGTAAATGGTGGCTGTGAGTCACAAAAGGTTGTGAAATCACCTCCCACTCTAGAGCCTTGAGCATGGAAATCCAGGCTGACACTGCAGTGCAGCAATTATGAAGGAATGAATTATTAGAAATACCACCTTTGGACAAAATGTTAAACAATGGCTTCATCTACCCTCCCAGATGGACATAAAAGAGGTGGTGGCTCAGTGGTTAGCACTGCTGCCTCACAGTGCCAGTGGGTTCAGTTCCTGCCTTGGGCAACTGTCTGTATTGAGTTTGTACATTCTCCCTGTGTCTGCGTGGGTTTCCTCCCACAGTCCAAAAGATGTGCAGGTTAGGTGGATTGCCATGCTAAATTGTCCAGGGATGTGCAGGATTAGCCATGGAAAATGCAGGGTTACAGGGATGGAGTGGGAGGATCTTCAGAGGGTTGGTGTGGTCTTGATGGGCTGAATGGCCTGCTCCCACACTTAGGGATTCTGTGACTCAATGGAAAGATTCCACAGCACATTTTGAACCCAGTGGAGTTCTGTCTCATGCCCTTGGCCAATGTTTATCACTAAAACAGATTACATCGTCCCTTATCTCATTGCATTTTGTGGAACTTCACTGAATACAACTGATCTGTGGTATTTACATTATAGTTAACAGCTACACTTCAGTATGGCTGTAAACTGCTTTGTCATAAATGCTTCTTTTTTATGCTACTGCAGACAAATTTCACCTTCTACTTTGTAAATTAGTTTTGACATACACTAATTACCAATGATGTGTAGGTGTCCTGCTTATCCCCTTTGATTTAACCCTTCATTTTGGTCTTGATTTGGTGAGTTAGTCTCGCACAATGGCATGCATCAGCAGACAGTACAGTGCCACACTGGAATGTTAGGGCAGAAGAAATGGTCTTGGCCAATACCAGCTGTCGGGGGTGGCATCATGAGATCACAAGCCATCACGTGGCCAAATGTGTAACAAATGAATCTGATCTCTAGCCAGGTAATTGCATTTGTGTTGAATAAGACATATATTTCCACTTTTGTGTCAGTGTTAAGCAGTTTTGAGTGCACATCGAAGTAGCAGCCTTATCCCAGCATAGGATGCCAATGGGACTTGTGACTCGGGAACGCATGAGCCCCTCAGTTCCTCCCCCAGGTTTGTGTTAAGATTGCACTGAAGAGTTAAGATTAAAAGCTGGGCTCCTTGGCATCCTTTGAAGCTAGAGCAGTCTTATTTTCTTGAGAAAGCAGGCAGCCTCCAAATGCTCTCTGGACATTAAGGCTGTAGAGCGTGTTCTAAAATCTGACACAAAAATCTAGCATGAAAGAAAGTGCGTATTTACAGAACCCTGTCGTGGTGGGTGGAGTGTGACTTGAATGATATCGATAATAGGAGTTGTTGGCCACACTCCTGCATCTGTGCAGCAACCAGGCTCGGGCCTATCGCTCGATGAGATCAGACTTTAAACTAACTCACTGGCCTTTCATAACAAAACTTTTTGGCAACGTTAGGAGGACATGTAGTCAGGGTACAACTAACATCTTTATATTGCATCAGTGTGAATAAAACCAGGAGCAAAAAAAAACCCATGGAGGTACTTTAAATCAAAATGGGCGCCCAGATTATAATTGCTTTCAGCAAGGCAGGGGCAAAAATTAGCAGAATTCTAAAGCAACTACGTTTCTAAGATAGAGTCATACGGCTCGGAACTCATCCATTCAGGTTTCCCAAACTGAACTTGTCCCATTTGCCTGCGTTTGGACCTCTAAACCTTTCCTTTTCATGTACCTGACCAAAGGTCTTTTAAATGTTGTAATTGTATTCTGATTATATTTATTCTGGTATTTTCTTGCAGGTGTTTGGATAAGGAAAACAGTGATGTTGCCTTCCTTGACAGCACAGCGCTGGCCAACATAAATGGTTAGTACACCTCACATATCTTTATTTCCTTCAGTATTTTGTTTAGCTGGAGCACTGTAGTCAGAGATTTCTCATTTACACTAGCTCCCCATTTGGCAGGATCTGGGATAGCGGCAGAATGACCAGCGGCCACAGTCACCCAGTAACAGATTCCTGTTTGAGAGATTGTAAACATGTTCCCAGTCGGCAGTGGACTGGGAGCTCTGCTGTACAAAGTATTTGTCAGACCCTATTTTGAGGCTTGCGTAATTTTAGTTGTCATAGAATGGATGTAATTGCTTTTAGAGAGGGAACAGACTGTACAATCATCAACCATTTTGGTAAGAAAGGATCATTTTGGTTTTCCTAGAAAAGAGAAAATGTCAAAAAGACCATTGTAGTTTTGAAAATTACAATTGGCATTGACAGCATTGTTCCAGTAAAATTAAGAGATTGCAAGTCTTAGGTGGAGCTATATCCAGATAATAGGTTAAAGCTTGTGGAAATAGTCACCAGAGAAGGTACTTGAAGCAGATCATAGAATCCCTACAGTGTAGAAGCAGGCTTCTTGGCCCATCGAGGCCACACTGACCCTCTGAAAAGCATCCCACCCAGACTCACCCATTCCTGTAACACTGCATTTCCCATGGCTAACCCACCTAGCCTGCACATCCCTGGACACTATGGACAATCTACCTAACCTGCACATCTTTGGACTGCGGGAGGAAACTGGAGCATGTGGGGGAAACTTGCACAGAGTATGTGTAAACTCCACACAGACATCGCCTGAGCCTGGAACTGAACATGGAGTCCCTGGTGCTGTGAGGCAATGGTGTTAACCACTGAACCACCAGGCCACCCACCTCACTCCCTTTAAGACGCTCCTTCAAACCTCCCTGTTTGACCAGGATTTTGGTCACGTATCCAAATATCTCATTATATGACTCAGTTGACTAGTTTTGTCAATGTGTCAAAAACACTGGAAACACTGAATCACTGGGTCAGATAGATCTTGTGGAGCGAGAAGCATAAATAAAAGGGAAGTCAGTGTAAAATTTTGTTTTCAGCAGCTGAGCCTATGCCTCTCACCTGTTGGTGTACCTAATGTAGACTGAGGCATACAGAGCCCACTACTTCCTGAAGGAAAATCATAGCAATTGATATGATATAGAATGGGGCTCCCAAAGGGCATGCATCCTTACAGCAAATGTTGAAGATAGAAATTTAGACCAGTTACTGGTGCTTATAATTAGGATTGGGTGCATAGACACTTTCTAATCAACCTGTTTAGAGATGACATTACACACCTCTTGAGCAGGAACAATTTGAACCTAGGCCTCCTGGCTCAGATGTAGGGACACCACCAATACACCACAAGTGCCCTCCAGCATTGGGTACATCACCCTGTTGTTGAAATTAAGAACACTTTCTTCATCAATAGAGAATAGTATCTGTATTGGTTCTAGGTCAACGAAAAGTTGAACAATGAAGAGTTGAAATCTCTCTTTGGCAAATTTTAGTTCATTGATCATTTATGGGGTAACACTGGTAAAGATGGTAGAAACCCAGCTGGTTTGCTAATATCCTTCAGAGAAGGGAATCTGTGACAACAAGCTGGTCTGAACTAACACATGATTCCTGTGCTATAGTACTTGACTAAGGCTGAATGTTCTAAGTAGAGAGAAGAACAAAGGTGAAGAAGTAGGCCATTCAGCCCATTGAGCTTGTGCCACCATTCCAGATCATGGCTGATCATTGCCTCAATGCTACTTTCCCTCACTCGGGGATAATTTATTTCATTCACAGGGTGTGGGCATTGCTGGCTAGGCCAATATTCATTGACCATTCAGTTCAGTGTCAATCACATTGCAGTGGGTCTGGAGTCACATGTAAACCAGACCAGGTAAGGATGGCAGTTTCCTTCCGTAAAATGACATTACTGAACCAGATGGGTTTTTCCGACAATGGACAATGGATTCATGGTCATTAGACTCTTAATTCCAGATTTTTATTGAATTCAAATTCCACCACCTGCCATGGCAGGATTTGCACCCAGGTCCCCAGAACATTATCAGGGTCTCTGGATTAACAATCTGGTGATAATACCACTAGGCCATCACCTCCCCATGGTTAGCTCAGTTGTGATGCAGAATGCTGCTAATGGCATGGATTCAATTCCCACACTGACTGTCATTACTATGAAGGACTGTCCTTCTTAACCTCTCTCGTTGCCTGAAGCATGGTGACTGTTAGGTTAAACCACCACCAGTTATCTCTCTCAAATGAGACAGCAACCCTATGGTCTGTTAAGACAATGGCTACTTTCCTTCATCATTTCTATAACCCTTAAATGTCATTAGTCTCCATAACCCTATCAATTCCTGTCTTTAACATGCTCAGTGATAAAGCTTCCAAAGCCCTCCGCTGCAGAGAATTCCAAAGATTCTGAGTGAAGAAATTCTGCCTGATATCAGTCCTAAGTGGCTTGCTTTTAAATGCTTTATAGAATTAGCTTGTTGGCATCACCTACATCCCAAATCAATTTTTTAAAAAGACAGGCTCTTCACACACAAATTACAGTGAAGTTTACTTTTACTTCAATGTCCATCTTGGGCCTGAGGCTGGGCAGATGGTGAAGCAGCATTCAGCACTTATTCTGAATGTTCCCTTCAGGGTATACAGTGTTTGAAATGATTGTCATAGCTGCAATACTTTAATAAGTGTGATTGAGCTGTGATGCTTGAATGAGATTCCTTTCACCATTGGTAGTTATTCAATTAAAATAGCTGAAAAAAATTACATTTCATTATCAGTTGCAACCAGCAGTAATTGTGCTGGGCCACAGTGGGTAAATACATTTCAGTGAGTACTTCCGAGTGTTACTTGGTGTTATGATCCCCAAAGAGATCAATAACCTTTAAATAAAGATGAGTTTTCCAGTGAAAAAGGAACAAGATTTTAAGACTTTTACTGTAGCAAACAAAGTAAAGTAAGTTTGGATTGAACGTTACTTAATAGGCAACTAATACCTAAGCTAAAGAAATCATCCTTTTATATTAACAAATTAATATAAACTTTTTTTGCTGTACACTATACTGCTGGCAGATATCTAACTTTACAAGATCAAATCCCACATTACTCCTGGTTTTCCAGCATTCTCCTTTCTCCTTGCAGTGCCAGGTCAGATTTTTCTTATTTATTCATGGGATGTGGACATCACTGGCTAGGCAAGCATTTATTACCCAGAGGGCAGTTAAGAGTCCCACATTGCTTTGGGTCTGGAGTCACATGTAGGCCAGACCAGGCAAGGACAACAGTTTCCTTCCCTACAGGACTTTAGTGAACCAGATGGGTTTTTCTGACAATCATGGTCATCATTAGACTCTTAATTCCAATTTTTCAATTGAATCTAAATTCTACTATCCGCCATGGCAGGATTTGAACTCAGGTCCCCAGATCATTACTAGTCTTCTCTGGATTAATAGTCTAGTATAATACCACTCTGCCATTGCCTCACCATCTTCCAGTGTCTTTCAAAATTGTTTCACCCAGCCTGAGCATTCCAGAATAAACATTCACTAGCAAGGCCAACCTCAGCAACACCATGTTCTTTAAATGTCCAAAAGTTTCATCTGTCATATCCTGAGAGATAGTAAGAACTGCCGATGCTGGAGTCAGAGATAACACAGTGTGGAGCTGGA